TTGTTCAAGTATTGGAATTATAGATTCTAATACTGAAATAATTATTAGTTCAAGTACTGAAATTATTGGTTCTAATACTGAAATAATTATTGGTTCAAGTACTCAAATTATTGTTTCAAATACTGAAATTATTATTAGTTCAAATTTTCAAATTCAAATAAAATTTATTTATTATTTTATTTATTTATTATTTATCTATTTTTTCGATTTAAATGAAAATTCTTTGATTCAAGTAAATCTTTATTTGATAATAAACAAGTAATTGTTTATTTGAATGAGAAAAATTTGTTTCCAGTCCAATATTAATAATTAAATTAATATCAATTAAATTTGAAAAAAAAGTTTGAATTAAAATAACAATATGAAAAATATTAATTTAAATTTTCAATAAACCTATTTTCACTTTTCTCTATTTTTTCATTAAGGTAAACGTCCCTATTATGGAACACTTCAAAATTTTGTTCCTATTATGGAACAGTATTACAAAAATTAAAATAAATGCAATTAAAAGTGGTGATAAGAAATTTCTACTTATTTCAGAAAATTGTATACGTTATAAGAATGATTATTTCTGTATAGTATTTAGTTTAATAAGAAATGTTTAATTGCATTTTAACTTTGAATTTAAGGTAAGCCAGAATTTTCGTCAGACGACTGTTCCATATTAGGCACACTTGTTATTTACATGTCCCTATTTATGGAACACACAAGAAATATACAGCAAACATAACCTCAAATCTTTTCAGTATTTTCGCGTTAATTTTCTACCTGAAGAATTGGTTTTATAATTATCTATTAAATTAGAATTTGTTAATTGTATTTTATTCTGTATAATTAATATTCAAATTATTGAGATAAGTCAATAGAATTCTAAATACTTATTAAATTAAATAAGTGTTCCATAAATAGGGGCATTCAATATGGAACACCCGTACATACAGGGAATCATCGTTCCATAATGGGTGCAGTGTAGAGTTTCAAAATTTAATTAATATTATTTTTATTTCATGGAAAATAACCATTTTAGAGAATAAATATTGTTTATAAAATATCAATCTTTCAATCTATACCCTAATTCATCAAATTAACACTCCTGATTTCAGTAATTTTATCATAGAAGTTTAGTTAGCTGAAAAAGTGTTCCATAATAGGGACGTTTACCTTACCCACACTTATCGTGTACACCTTCATAAATTTTTATCACTCTGCTAAGAAAGTTTTCTATTCATTTCTTTTTTTCTCCTCTTTTTTTTTTGCATTTACAAGATTTTATGAGGAAGTACTGAAACTTTCAACTACGAATATAACTTTTCCTAGAATAATTACGCACATTATTTTCCATACAATATTTTACTTCCTGAAACTTAAATGTTGATCTTAAAAGACTACAGTGGAACCTTCAATAAAAAATATTAACAATCGCGATTCGATCGTATCACTTAAGAAGTAAGAAAGATAAGAATTTTTTTTCCATTTTCACTACAAGTAAAAAAAGAAGAAGAAAACGATTCCTTGGATTAGGTGCCAGTAAAAGTCGAGGTCAAATATTTCTAGGAGTAAATCCTTAACGAAAAAAAAAAAAAATTGACTCTCAGGGTTCACGACTCTACGTTATATTCTATCTCATAACAATCAATCAATCAATGACGTTTGATTCATGTTGCAAAATCACTAATAAAAGAACTTTTATCTCTCACATACCGTATAAAGATTGTCTTATCCAATCATATTATTACAAATCGGTTATAATAGTTCTAACCGATAATTAAAAACAAGTACCACTTTTATTTGCCTACAAAATTCCAAATCTACAACGAGAAAAAAAACAGTCAATGTTTGATTTAATCATTAAATCATAACTTACAACAAGAGTCAATTGTGATATACAAATTGAAAAAATTTTATTCATATCGGAGAAACGATAATAATTTTTTCCAATTGACTTTTTGCTTTTAAAACAGTTAAAATTTACTATACTCCAACAGTACAAATTTTTTTTTCTCTTAAATTAGTAAATTTTAACTGCGATTTGAAAAGCAAAATGTTTTATTCGTTCAAATTACTCGTCAATGACTTAAAGCAGTTATAATTTTAATTTTTAACTGATTCAAATTTAGAGAATACAGCGAAAAAAAATTTATTTTTTTAAAATAACCGATTGTCTATTTATCAAATAAATATTTACTTGAATCAAATAATTTTTTCTCAAATCAAATATAAATTTGATTTGTACCAATAATTTCAGTATTTGAAGCAAATACAATTTAATTGACTAAAGTGAAAATTTATTTGATTGAAATAACTTATTACTTGTCTATTATTAAATAAATATTTACTTTAACCAAATAATTTTTATTTAAATCAAATAAATTTTAACGAATAATTATTTGAACCAATAACTGCAGTATTTGAAACAAATACAATTTAGTTGATTCAAATAAAAATAATTTGATTCAAGAAAATATTTATTTTATAACAAACAAATAATCAGTTATTTGAATAAAATAAATTTTTATTTTAATCAATTAAGTGGTATTTGCTTAAAACACTGAAATTATTGGTTCAAATTAAATTTAGTTGATTTAAGTAAAAATTATTTGATTCAAGTAAATATTTAGTTGATTTAAGTAAAAATTATTTGATTCAAGTAAATATTTATTTTATAACAGACAAATAATTAACTATTTGAATAAAATAAATTTTTATTTTAGTCAATAAAATGATATTTTCTTAAAACACTGAAATTATTGGTTCAAATTAAATTTATTTGATTTAAGTAAAAATTATTTGATTCAAGTAAATATTTATTTCATAAATAGACAAGTAATCAGTTATTTGAATCAAATAATTTTTATTTAAATGAAATAAATTTTTACGAATTATTATTTGAAATTATTAAATTTATTAAATTAAATGAAATTTATTTGATTTAAGTAAAAATTATTTGATTCAGGTAAATATTTATTAGACAATAGACAAGTAATTAATTATTGGAATCAAATAATTTTTTTTTCAGCGTAAAAACAAAATCTTAACGTTCTAATAATTTTTTTTAATATAAAAAACAAATTAAAAATATCTTGAATTATATTTTTTAAAAAAAGAATTTAATTTTTTGCAATTATTTTTCTTCTTTTTACGAAAACGAGAAAAAACTTTTCTCAGGAATTGTCTGATGTGTGAAAAAGCTATCATTGAAATCTGCAGTGAAATAATAATCTCATTAAATGAGATAAGTACACGCGAGTCCTTCGTTAGCGTTAAAGTGCGATAATCAACAAAGCGTAACAATCGTTAATCGGCTCGCTGCTTAGAATAAAAGTACTCGTAAAAATAGTGGTGGGGGGAGTAACTTTAAAACGATAAACAATCTAGAAATTATTTCAAAATTCATATTGAGTTGCAAATCTCAGAAAAAAAATTTTTTTTACTATCAATTAATTCTTTTATATAGATCTTTTGTATTTATATTTTGGTATTTTTTGTTAATTTACATATTGAAATAATAAAATAATTTTTTTAATTTTGCAATTTTTTTCTTTTTAATTTTTACTAATCATTTATTTGAATCAAGTAAATTTTTTCTCAGTATAATGAAAAAATATGAAAAATACAATAAATTTATAAATAAAAAAATAATAAAAATACTAATAATACTATAAATAATAATATTAACAATAATATTAATAATAATATTAATAAAAGCAATAATAAAAAAAATATTAAAATATAATTCAAAAAAAAAATATTAATAACAGTAAAAATAATAAGAAAATAATAACAGTAATAATTAACGGATTATAAAATATAAATATAATAATTTTCTAAATATGCAAATAATACAATTAAAAAATAATTTAATTATATTAAATGGTAATATTCAATAAACGATATCGATAATTATTCTAATAATTTCAAATCCTATTAGTAATGATTTAAACTAATTCACTTTCAACAGCAGCTAATTAAAACAAGAATTCAAGGATAAAATATCTATCAATGGAATGCTATTTACATTTATTTATTTCGTACATTTACACTAAACAAAATTCTTATATACAATACTGATACTTAAATGATAACTGTCTCACTTTTTTACTTATAAAACTTTTCCTAATTTGAATACACATAGATTTTTTAATGCGAATTTTTTTACTATGTGTATTTTTTAAAGTGAATCTTTCTTTAACTCGCATAAATTTTCTATTTTGAATATGAGTTTGAAGAAATTTTCAAAATGTAATTCTTAATTTGAAACTCAAATGTGAATTTCAAGTCTGAAAATTCTTAATGTACAAATTCAACTACGACAAGATGAATAAAAATTCTTTACACAAATCAATGAACGAATTATTTAAAACAAACTGTTTTTAGAAAACATTTCTTAAATAGAATTTTTTTTTATCTCTTTTTGTATTTTTCAATTAATTTTTCCTCTAATCTAAATAAAAATTGTTAGATTTTTAAACAAAAATGGATTTTTCGAAACAAACATTTTTGAGAATTTGTCGTCGTGTCAATTTTGTAAATAATAGTAAACAATTTTTCCGTGTACTTTCAAATATGAAAAATTATCGAATATTAACGATACTAATAAATAAACTTGTGAATCAAATCATTAATATTGAAATTAAGAGTCAATTTAGATTAATTTTCGAATTCGTATCAAATTAATTCGTAAATTCTATTTAATCATTAAATTCATTTTCCTCAACTAGTTTACTCTCTTCTCTTTATTATTTGTAATTACTTTAATTAATTTCTATTTCTTTTTTATAATTGCGAAGTTAATTAGAAATTCTTTAATGATTTATACGTCTTGATAATATCAAATGATAATTTTAAACAAGAAACTCGATTTCAAAAAGATCCAATTTTAAATTATAACTTGAAAAAATTAACAAATTTTCCAAACAATTTCTCATTTTTACATTAAGAAAATATTTTTAATTTAACTTCTTTTTCTTTTTTCTTTAATTTCCTTTTTTTCTTAATTACCTTTATTTAATTTCTTTCTTTTCTTTCATTTCTTATTTTATTTAATTTCCTTTTTCTTTAATTTTCCTTTTTTCTTAAATTTTCCTTCTTTTCTTAATTTTGTTTTAATTTTTAATTTCTATTAAAATCCCAGTTATCCTCATGCTTAATGTACAATTTCTCAAAGATTTCGTAAGTTCACTTTTACTCAAGCGTAAATGTTGACAAATCGCACTTTTGAAATTCGGATAAAAAAAATTTCACTTTCAGAAAACTACCTTTTTGTAGTATTCATTTTTTTAAATGAATTAACAACGGTTGTTGTAATAGAAATTAGCAAAGATAAAAAATTGTTTGGAGAGAAAAAAAAGAAAACAAATAATTTTTTTAAAAGTTAAGTCAATCAACTGATATTTTAAGATCGCAAGTTATATTTTCCTTTTCTTTTTTTGACGATTGCATCAAAAAATTTGTGAGGACGATAATAAGTATTACGGCACGTCATCGTGACTTTGAAATCACACACACTCGCTACATATACATGATGTATTCACAAAATCGCACTTTAAAAATCACAATTACATTGTAAATCTATATTCAACATTTTTCTCCTCTTCACATAATCTTTAATTCTATCATTCGAAAACTATATCAAATAATTTCAAATTCGTTTCAATTCAAGTCGATTTTTTAAAAAAAAATTATAATCTCCAATCGTAGATTATAAATTATCAGTTTTAGATATTTTTCCTAATCGTTCGAATATTTTCAGAAATTTTTATTCTATTGCTTTTTATTAAAATAAATACTTTTATTATTCTATTATTTATTTTTATCTTATTATGCGAATTAAGCGGAAATAATAATTTTTTACGAAACAATTCCCTCTCTTTAGAGGGAAAAACTTAGTAAAAAGATTTCAAAATTTTCCTGTAGGAAATAATTTGAAACTGATTTTTTTTTCCAAAAAATAACAATACCAAAAATTTTTTCTTTTTCTCGAGAAGAAATTTTAACGAAAGATTTTCCATAATCAAAATTTGTAGCGTGAAATTTCTTTCGGTGAGACAAAATATGCAGGAAAAAATTTACTTCTATTAGTTATTCAAAAATATTCGCTTCTGATAATTTTACTTTCCACACTTTAAATCTGAATAAGCGTAAAAATATTTATTTAAATTTTCCTCAAGTATTTTACAATTTTTCAGAAAGGAAAAAAGAAGACTAAATTTTGTACGAATGGAAGATTTACTTAATTAGCAAAGTTGTATTTAAATTAAACAAAAAAACTATTGAAATTGGAAACAAATTTATAGTAAAAATTAATTAGTTCAATTATGACAAAATAGTCATATCTTTTCTCCTTTTTTCCTCACTAAAAAATAAAATATTCGAGGTAAAAATTCTACAAATTTTCTCCAATAATGTGAAATTAAATTTTACTTGTTCTGAATTTCAAGAGTGAAAATTGAATGATTGACAAAATTCGCACTTTAATCATTCATCATCGACAGTGACTAAAATATGTAGCATTTCTGTAGCATAATGTAATTAATAATTGTACAAGCATTAATTATTTTATCAAGAGATCATTCCTTGTAATACATAATAAATGAGCCAAAAAAAAAAACATCTTTAGGATCGTTATTCTTTTTTCTTTTGTTTTCTTTTCTTGATCCTCTATTCTTAAAGTATATGATAAATGAGGTAAAATTTTTTCTCTCTTCACTTTTCAATAATTTCTATAATTGTATTTTATTCATTGAAGAATGATCCGTTATCTATTGATAATATTTATATAAGAAATATGTGATCCTGATGGAAAAAATGGGCACTTATCACGGTCCAATGATCATTGGAGGTATCATTTTGTCGAGCGTACAATGAGCAAGTGGATCAAAATAATCTCTGTGTACGCTCTAGAAAGACTATTGTCTCCCTCTCTCTGTCACTTATTTATAATTGGGACAAAAAAAAATTGACATTTGAATGGATTATAATTTTTGTACAATATCAAATTTGTCTTTGAAGCCTAATGATTCTTTTTTTGGGTCATATTTTTTCTTCATTGCTAATTTTGCTCGTAATTCCTTCACGGTTAAATTTAAATTTAATTCTTCTTTCTCGTTATCCATTTTGCCATTTCTTGTTCCATTTGACGATTGTTCGTTATTCATATTTCCACTTCCGTTTTTGTGATTCTCCTCCGAATTTTCATTTGTTAATGTTGCAGTGGGCGCTGTTGATAAGCCGCTGTGCGATGTGTCATTCGAGTCGATTGACTTCTGCATATTCTAAAAAAGGAAAAATCATTTTATTAATACAAGAAAAATTTTATTCATAAATAAACGAAAATAAACGAAACTAAATGAAAATAAACGAAAATAAACAAAAATAAATGATAAAAGTAAACGAAAATAAAAAGAGTAATTGTAAAATTAATAACAAAAAATGTCGTGTGTATTTTTTGTCACACATCCTTCAATTTAATCTGATTAACTGACATTTCTTAATTTTTATTACTGGTTTCATTGCTGTTTGAATTTTCGAGAAATTAAAAGCCTCGGTTAATGACCCGTGACAAATGTCCATGAGTTAAAACGATCGAATTGAATCATTGATAATTTCCACGTGACCCACATTGAAGAGTATCAACCATTCCGGAGATGCACGTTGTGTACATTCAAGGACTGTCACACCTATTCACATTACACTTTTTTTTATCAAGTAATAATTTATCTCTCAATGATTTCTTTTTTTCTCTCTTTTATTTTTCTTATTATAATTTTTTTTAATCACCTTTCTAATATATTGATCTCGTTTTATCTGTCGACTATTTAACAGAGTTCTTGTATTTCGATTACATCACAATAAATGCGGAAAAATCGCAAATATACTTTTACTTACAACTTTAATTATTGAGAAGATTTTAAGAGAAAGAAAAAAAAAGATTTTCCTTTTCCATTCTCTACAATTTGTTATTCAACAGTTGACAAGATAGTGTTTCAATAAAAATTGTTTTTTACTTCAATAAATGAAGATTAATTTTCCGTCACAGGTGAAATATGAATAAAACGTAAATAATATAGAAAAGTTTTGCAATAAACGCGCTAATAATCATTTGCTATTTTACGACTGATTTCATAATCATCTCATTTAATCTAACCCCGTATAATTTTTCCCCATTGTAGGAAAAAATATTTTCTTTATCTTAATTGAAAAATTAATTTTTTCTTTTTCTTTTGATGCTTTTAGATTGAAATAAATATAATATTCAGCATATCGTGAAATAAAAAAAAAAAAATTGTAAATGACAAAAATTCTGGAAAAAAGTGTCGAGTAAATTAAAATTAAAAGAAAAACATTCGAGGTTCGTAAAAAAAATAATTAAAAACTGAGTAACCAATTGGAACGCACAAACACATTTTATGACCAAGATTAACCAGTTACCGACCTACAAAACTAACTCATTCACCTTCGAAATAAATGTCAGGTGCTTATCGATAGAAACAGAGATTTGTTATACCGAGAAAAATTAACAAACTTTGGATTAAAAATATCTGTTTGCTACGTGCTTTCCTTGAAAGACAATAGTAAATAGTAAATAGAAAATAATAAAAAGGAGAAAAAATGAAAAGGAGAAAAAAATAAAAAGGAGAAAAAATAAAAATAGTAAAAAACAGTAAAAATAAATAAAAAATATTTTTAAAAAAGTTAAAAAATAAATATTGAAAAACAGAAAAAAATAACAGCTAATAAAAAAAGCTGAAAGAAAAAAAATAATTTATTTTCTTAAAAAAATTAACCAAAATTTGACTACATTTTCTATATTTATTAATTTATTAAAGAAAAATTTATTTTCAAGGAAAATTTATTCTTTATTAATAGTGGAATTCCCCGCATGACAAAACAATCATCAAAAGACAGGAAATACCGCAGCATATTGTTGAGATTTAAGCAAAGAGAATAATTATTAATGATCAAAATCAGTGACTCATTTTTATCAAATATACATAAATGTATATATGAATTATGTAATTTTAATAATTATTACACAAGCATCTAATTATAGGTACATAAAATTTAAAATCAATTTTGCCTTTTTAATTAAAATTTTAATAATTCTACTAATAAAAGAAAAACGTTAAAATAATTTCATTTTTTATGGAAAATTTCAAAACAAAACTAAATAAATAAAAAAAAAATTAACTACGAGAATAATAAACTGTATAGGTATATGTAAGAAAACGCTTTCGAAATTCATCAAGAAGTTTCTGCACGTTTTTCTTGTCACCACAAATGCAATGCTCTACTTGGATAATGATGAGAATTGTATATATATATATATATATATATATATATATATATATATATATAATACGTTTATAGCCGTGAAAAATTTTACTCGCGTAAGTATACCATCAACTATTTTCAGTAGAAAATAATTCATTGTTGGTTTCGTTTAATTTATTCTTGCGGTGCGAAGTTTTAAGTTTAATAAAAATGGGGAAACAAAGAAAGAAAATAAACCGGAAAAAAACAAAAAAAACTTTTGAAAAATATATCAATAATAAAAGTATAAGAAAAGTACAATAAACGTACAAAAAATTACCAAAAAATTTAACAGAAATTAAAAAAAAAATACAGTAAAAATGTCAAAAAAAATTCGAAAAATACAATAAAAATACAAAAAAATACGAAACAAAACCAACAATTTTTCCCCATAAAATTATCTGCGTCAGGAAAAGAAAAATTCCATTGAAAGAATTTCAGTGAAAGAAAAACAAACTATAAATATTGTTTCTAAAACGCGTCATCTTCGAAAGATGAATTTACGATGATTCCATAACTATTTAAACTTTACTATCATCGCAGCGGTAGTAGTATGATAAATTAAAGGTTACGTAAAATTAAGTAAAAAAAATACAATTTACTTGTCACTGTGATTCACAGAAGTCATGCGAGAATAAATTTACTTATTTTTAGCCTTTAAAATATACATAAACTGGTCAACGCTTCCACAATATTTATAAATTGAGAAATTTTCTAATTTTCTTACTTTAATTTCTAAATTCTAATCGAATATTATAAATAATAAATCAACGAATAATTGTAACAAATTTTACACTGGAAAAAATTTGATTTTGATTTAAATAAACGATTATACTTTATCAAATAAATATTTTTTACAGGAAAATTGTTTTTCTTTATTTTCTTCATTTTCCTTATTTTCCTTCTTTTTCAATAGAATTTATTAATTTTTCTTTAAATTAATTTTTTAGTCAATTATATGTTATTTGCTTCAAATACTAAAATTATTGGTTCAAATAATTATTCGTTGAAATTTATTTGATTTAAATAAAAATTATTTGATTCAAGTAAAAATATTTATTTGACCATAGAAAAGCAATTATTTAAATTAATTAAGTTTTTTTCAGTGTAACATTAAATAGAAAAAATTATTTGTAATATAGATAAAATTTAAACGAATTCTATTATTCTACCCGTGAAACTTGACTAAAATGATCTGTTACAAAAATTAACAAAAATACTGATTTACCAAAATTCCTAAAAAAAAAAGTTTTTCTAAAAAATATTTTCTAATTTTTCTATTTATATTTTCTAATAAATTTCAAATTCACAATTTTTTGAATTAAATTCCCAATTATTCTTTTGCTGCAATAAAGTTTTATTTTCTAATTTTTCGTCTTCAAATGTCAAATTTTAAATAATTTCTCAACAAATTATTGATTTTTCTATAAGGAAAGTCATTTGATAAATTACTTCTGACTCATTTTTGAATCTTTAATTTCTAATTTAATTTACATAGTATTTAAATTTTTATCTTTTTATGTTTTTATTAATTTTATGCTTAAAAAATTTTGAACTTTTAAACGAACCAAATATTTTTTTCCAATATAAATTTTTTATAAATTGGTCACTGAAGTAGGAATCAAAAACATAAATTATTTTTTAATTATATACGTAACCCAAAATTATTATTTAACAATATTTGAATTTTAAAAAGTTAAAAAAATTAATTTTGTTCTACTTGAACATTCTGAACTTTAGGGACATAATTTTCATTCGACAAGTTAAATTATGTAAATTAGATTAATTAAATGTGAAAAATTATGTATTTTCGAATGTTTAATCATTTAATTTTTTTCAAAAAAGAAATATTTCATTCTTTTGCAAAGAAGAAATAATTAATTAATTTTCAAAGAAAAAATATTTAATACTTTAGCAAAGAAGAAATATTTTATTCTTTAGCAAAGAAGAAATAATTAATTAATTTTCAAAGAAGAAATATTTAATTCTTTTGCAAAAAAGAAATATTATTCAATATTTTTTTTTTTTTGCATAAGAAAAATATTTAATTTTTCCACGAAAAATTAATTTAAGAAATTAATATTTTTGTAAATTTTGTATGAATGAGATTTCTTCGCATAAAAGAAATATTTATTCAATTTTTCTTTCGCATAAAAGAAATATTATTTAATTTTCTTTTGCATTGAAAAAATAATTTAATTTTTCTTTCGCATATAAAAATTATTTGATTTTTCTTTGGCATAAAAAAATTATTTAATTTTTCTTTCGTATACAAAAAATCATTTAATTCTTTTTCAAAAAAGAAATATTACATTCTTTTGCAAAGAAGAAATAATTAATTTCCAAAGAAGAAATAATTAATTAATTTTCAATGAAGAAATATTTAATTCTTTTGCAAAAATGAAATATTATTCAATATTTTTTTTTTACATAAGAGAAATATTTGTTTAATACTCTTTTTTTGCATAAGAGAAATATTTGTTTCAATTCTTCTCTTTTGCATAAAAAGAAGTATTTAAAAAAAAAAATAACTAGTGTCTCCTCCGAGTAAATTATGCTATTTCCGGAATAATTGGAATATAATATGAAAAGGACGAGGTCGCATAAGTCCCCGGAAAAAAAAGAAAAACGAAACGAGACGAGATTCAATCGTCCGTGTAGACTCTTTTGAAAAAGCATTACGCAGTTCACATGGGCACCCAACTGTTGTTTATATGTACATCTGCAAATGCGGATTTTATGCATTTTATGTAAGTGGCGGAAGTCTAGTGCGCATGTGCCTTTATAGATGTTCGGATAAAATAGATACGTAATTGGTCACGAGGTAAACAATAATGATGAGCCATATGGCCATTATTTAAGATTTTATTTAAGACCCATATTCTCATTTTTCATTCAAGCGCACCTCATATCCGGAATTCAACTTCCGCAAATTAATACAACCGTTCATGATAAAAAAAAA